TTTTATTTTTATTTTTGTTTCGCTCCTTTTTTTATTTGCTCTTTTTTAAAAACGTTTTGCTGGATGACTCAAGATTAATGCTACTGCCGTTAATAAAAAAATTATATACTTATAAAAAACGAGGAGCTTTACACTTTACAAAGTTACGAGAGCAAAATCTACGAACTGAGATAAAAACTTGAGGTCACTTTTAGTGTTACACATAAAAAAAAAACAATGTGTTCAATCATTTCTACATCCTGTCGAGTTGCATGTTACCTTATTATTACTTAGCCTAGTTGTGAACAGCACCAGAAAGAAAAAGACAGAAAGATTATGTTACGCCAATCTTTAAAGTGGAGAGGACTTACTATTCGAAATCCTGTTTTTATCTGCGCACAAACACTGACTTCAAACACCATGTCTTCCTTTTCTATAAATATTTTCACGGTAGCTGTTCTGATGAATTTTCTACTTTGATACACTGATTTGATTCTTGACAAAATACAAAGAAGAATCTGCAACATTATCGGTCCTAACCTGGCACCTCCGTTTCAGTCTCTTTCCCATTGCCGTAACGTAAGTTCCCGGTGGATTTTCTATAAATATTTTCACGTTAATTGTTCTGATGGGTTTTTTCTTTGTGTATATTCATTGTAAATATTCATTGGGGTTTCATTTTTAAAATTGTACATATAGGAACTAGTTAGGACTACATAGAGACTTTGCAGTTTTATGGTGACTGTAGTAAGAATGGCAAGTAAGAATGTGTTGCTTTGGTGTATGGAATACTGTTGTATGTTTGAGTTAGTAATCGTGGCTAGCTATGTTTAAGATAAGACAGATTGAAGACCATATCCCCCCTTTTGGCCTTGTGCCATATTTTTGTATTACAAGAAAATAAATATTAATTTCCTTTTTGGTACCTTAACTTCATAAATTTAATCACAGTGCTAGATTAGCTATCAGGGGAGTCAAGGCGGAGCAATGGATGGCGGCACAGATTGAAGAATCGGAGATCCAATTTCGAATTCCAATCGGATCCATTACATTCACTTACATACTAATCCTCTTCTTCTCCCCCAGCTATGGATAAATAGAAGGACAGACTGGGTGGTAACTCTGAAAAAAGAAAAAACTGAATTCAAAACCAAGCTATCTTGCCCAAGAAACACAATGCGTCACGGGATTCGATTCACACGACTTGATTACCACCTAGGTCTTGTAATTCCACTGTTATAACCGTAAGTTCTATGCTAATAGTTTCTTCTCCCGTACTTCTTGTGGAACTTCCTGCTTTCCTGTTGACTACGATCATTTAACATTTAAATCCAATGTCGTCTGTCTCTTTGAATCTTGATATTTTACTCTCCTCTTTGATTCATTCCCTCTCGTTAACCCCTTACATCTTAGTGGTTTTTAATGTCTTGCTTGGGTTGGAAGGATTAAATGGTAAAGAAATAAAATAAATAAAAATCTCAAACTAGGCCTAGAAGAGGTAGAAACAGGAACATTACTAAGGAGTGAGAACAAAAGAAGAGTAACCAGGAGGACAGCAGATAGCGATTGACATTGCATTTAACTTTTTACGGATTAAAGTTGGCTGGAAAGCATGGAGCTGTAAGGGAGTTCCACAAGCGAGAAGTGCGAGAATAGAAACTGTTAACATGGAATTTACGGTTACATCTAACCTGCTCAAATGTAAATTGGAGAGACCTCGTCGCCAGTCTTGTAATTCGTTTAAAGTCGTAGATTCTGGGCAGCATAGCGAGGAGATCATCCGAATAATTACTATGAAAGTATTTATAGAAAAGGCAAAGGGAGGCAACCTTAAGGCGGTGGGAAAGTGACCGAAGCTGAAACGCTAGGTCTATTTTTAGTAGAAGTCCTATTAAAGAAAAAATCCTGCTGGGGTGCGTAAATTTTTACTTTAATAAGATTTCTCGAACATTCAGGCCAGTAGACGAAAACAGATAAATATACTGTTTATCAAATAAACAGAGCGTCTACTCAAATACGAGTATCCACTAAAAATAACGTTTAAGTTAATCCTATCTAAGCTTTCGGCTTACATAAGCCATCATCAGAGATGACAAGTACATTACAATAAATTAAACAATACACGGACATAGCAGCCATGATAATGTGTTTTGTTTGCATGGGAGGTTTCCAAGCAACGACAAACTCATGCATACATGCCGCTGGAAGCAAAAATCGCACCGCGGCCCATGACATCTCACATGACCACTGGCGACAGTGAAAACGAGAAGTGTTAAGTATGGAAGCCGTTGGTATAAGTCAATGGTTTCTCTGTTATCAATTATAGGCATTTAAGTATATTTGAGGAGTTTTCATAGTTTATTTTGTTCATGTTAGATTTCAACTGTTTTATGTATATAGCTTCAAGAATTTTTAGTTTTTGTTTATTGTTTCCATGTTTAAGGATAGTTGTGTTTTCGACAAGTATATATATATATATATATATATATATATATATATATATATATTTTTATAATAAAAGAAAAAAACACTAAGATATATAATCCAGTGTCCTTATTGATATTCTTATTTTTTACAAAACAGTGCTCAATGCAAATTTACAGAGCATAAATATTATAAATTACCTGACTTAAAAATATGCTTCCATCGTTACACAGGAATTGCCATGTTTCAAAAAACATATATATATAGTTATTTTCCAAGCGTAGCTTAGATGTAACAAAGCCGAAAGTATGGGGTACCCAGTGAGGATTGAAGTCACTACTGAGTCGTAATTGTTCTAGCGAGACAAGCTCGCTAACCATTACACCGTCTCGAGGTGCCCCATATATATATATATATATATATAGTGGGGTGTAGAAATGATCTAACTAAAGAGATACGATCAACCATATATATAAGCGATTTCGTACACATACAGTAAACGTAGATATATGTGTAATTATTAATATATATATGTGTGTGTGTGAGTGTGTGTGTGTGTGTATAACAAGATAAATGTTTTTGAGTACGTCTGTCTGTAGAGTGGACAGCTAATCCCAGTTGCAGACGCCTAATCAGGCAAATTTATGCTTCTTCAGCACCTACAAAACCCACCTGTGCTTTATACTGCATCTATGTTGAGTGGATCTTGGTTGCAGTTTTCTTATACCTAAACAAGCAAAACTAATTAAAAACGAAGAAATAAACAAAAATCTCCTTCTCTGTCGTCTTTAAATGAACTTTATCGATGGAAGACTGCTGCCTAAATACACACACATATAAACTCACCCACGTACACACATTTTTTTAATGTCAGGGCGTAGGTGATCATGTCTTTACACGGATTCCTTCTTCTTCATGATTTAATAATTGCTATAACTCCTTTGGAAAGACAAGTGGAATGATTTTCGGTTGCGTTTTCAACGATTTGAATTCGTAGACCTTCTCTTAAACTGGCTGTCACCCAGAACTGCAGAGATCAGTCTACTCTGCTATTTAACCAACAGCTATGGAGAAAAGAGACTTATTAGATGCGTTTTTTTCTGTGATGTTCTTCGTGGCTGGATCAAACAGTGGTTTCTCCTACATAGAAGGGTGCGAGTTCGATCCCTGCCGGAGAACACATTTTCGTTACTAGGATTTCTCCGATAGACGTAATACATAGTTTAATAAAACGAAGCGTGTATTTCAAATATGAAATATCCATTGTAATAACGTTTGAAGTAATATTAGATGCGTGAAAGCTTTTAAGGTTTTTTATTTAAAAAAAATAAATTCTGCTATGCATCTAGTCCCTGGCTTTTTTTTTTTTTTTAAATGGCTGAGAACTTTTGCGCAAGCCTAATATACGTCTAGACTCACACGTGTGCGTGCGTGCGTGCGTGTGGGGGGTATCTTAGAGACCAAGAGTCATGTTCTCAAATCTAGCTCACTTTGACCCAAATGCAAAATCAGAAGTAGATAGATTTTCCTACCGCCCGGTTCACACTCTTCCCCGAACTTTGAAAAGGAGTAGAGGTATATCTCGTGGTTCCAGTTTGTGATTCGCTTTCCGGTTCCCTCTAAAGTTTTTTCCTTCTCTTTCACTTCCGGTGGCTCTTTGTGTCTTGGTGGTATTATCACCTTATTTGGAGTGATACCTTTTACTCTGTAACCCTCTACCTCGAGTGGCTCTTGGTCCTTGTACAGGGTGAGCATCATTGTAAAAAATATATATCGAAACACACGATGCTCAAGACGAAAAAGAAAAAAATACGAGAGCCGATATCTGACCCTAAAAACGTGACTACTACTTGTATTTTTAATGTTTTGAGAGATAGAGTATTGGACAGAAGATCAGTAGATTTGAGATTCTATCTAAAAATCATGAAATTCATTATTTCTATATCTGCTCCGACCTTATTAAATACGCTAATATATTGAATGACACCTGTCATAGCTGAAAATAAGCGTCACAGCTTTTTACTGTTACGATTTGTTGAATGTAAGGTAATTATGGGAGAGTGGTTTGTTCACCGTTGCACTCACTCATTTTTTTACTCATGCAGATTGCCTTACCAGTGCTCTGCACTGCGTGTTAACCGACCTATGATGAAACCCTCACTAAGTCATCTGCTCCTACTTTCCCCTAGGGGAAAAACTCACTAATCTTTCCGTGACCTCTGCTGGAACTCTCACCCACCCGTTGTGCTGACTTCAATTAAAAACATGTGTATCGTTCTTTGTTACATTTATGTCGTCACATTGGTAACAATTCCGACTCTACAACAAATTGGTGGACCCCGAAAAGCAGTAATTTCACAAGAGATATGCTTGCCTTTTTTGAAAATTCGTCCAACCTATATGTACAACACTAGTGTATGTCTCTCACTGTCACGACCTATTAGAAATGTCTTTTTCAGTCTTATAAAAAGCGAACGCCCAGTATTAATCTGAGACGAGTGTGTCACTAGCCAGAGTAACATTAGACCTGTTGACTTTTGCAGCTTTGACAGTGGCTGGATGAAGAAAGGATGGCAGAAAAAAAGGACCAGTGAATCATGCAACGCCCGCTTAAAATTGGCTACTGCCTAGCCCGGACCCTTCCCTCGCAGGAGTGACGTAAAGATCAGTCCGGTAAAAAGTTCAAAAGACCGCCATAATAGATCAACTGACAGCGAGATGCTAAAGCGTTCCCGGTGAGTGAATCATTTCAGGACTAAAGAGTTACATGTGGCCCTCTCATATTGCCATCATGCATGGACCATTGTGGGTGGTGACCGCAGTAGCGGTGCCAAAAGAGGGCATCAGTTAACTCGCCTTGTTTCTATTAGCACACATATCCTCGTCTCGAAACCGAAATACCCCCCTCCGCCCCCTCGCTTTCTTTCTTTCTTTCTTTCTTTCTTTCTTTCTTTCTTTCTTTCTTTCTTTCTTTCTATCTATCTATCTATCTTGCCATTCACAATTTTGTTTAATACTATCCATTTATTGTCCTTGCAAACAAATATCCAAATCTAAGAACACGTCCAACGCCCAACTGTACCAAATGCAAACAAAGTGTCTATCTTGATGCAAAATTTCACACTCGTCTCCTGGTTTAAAGGTAGTTAATCGTTATTTTTACCTATGCATAAATGCCATTGGTAAAGGTATACACCCTTCTCTTTTTCTAACCCACCGACTTTGAGTTAGCTAGCCGGGGTTACCATCCAATCTAGGAGAAGGACAAGTCTGAATACAAAACCGTATATAGTTCGGTGTCGATACATACTATAACTAATGACCGTTCAGCATAGCTGCAGTACAAACCGCAAGTTGGCTCTGGGTGTATTGAAGGAACACCAATGGGCCAGAGCAAACAGGCATGCTCGGGAACGAGAAGCTATGCTGAAGATGAGAAATCACAGGTCGAAACAACTCTGATGATCATAATGTAACGAATATGTTTTATCTCAGAAATCTGGAAAACAAAGTTAAGAGAGAGAGAAAGAGAGAAATATTTATTAGCAAACTAAGATAGATAGATATAAACAGACTGAGATAGATATATAGATATAAACAGACTGAGATAAATAAAAACAGACTGATATATATATATATATATATATATATATATATATAGAGAGAGAGAGAGAGAGAGAGAGAGAGAGAGATAGGAATGAAATGAACAGATTTAGGATGATAAATGAATCACATGTTAATCATCGATATCAATAAAATAATATCAAACAATGATCGCCTTGAATGTTACAAGGTCCCAAAGTCATTAATAATAATATTATTAATGTTCAATACAGGAAAAGCAAATTAACTCGATTTCAAGTATTACATAAAATAAGAATGTATCGTTTAATTACGTCAGTTTCAAGTATCCCTAAATTTCTCCAACCTTAACTCGTCGCCATTTTTAAATTTTAATAAGGTTACATAACTTCCAGATTCATTTTAATCATGGAGAATAATTCTTCTTTTATTCCTCCTTCCCTCTCTCCTGTTGTCTCTTTTTAAATTCTTTTAAATTATCTTTAACTTCATTTTCATTTATCTCTCTCTCTCTCTCTCTCTCTCTCTCTCTCTCGCGACAACAGGTCTCTCTTTTTCAATGTCTCTCTTTTCCTTCCACTTCTTTTAAATTATCTTTCTCTTTATTATCTCTCTCTCTCTTTCTCTCTCTCTCTCTCTCTCTCTCTCTTGACAACAGGTCTCTCTTTTCCTTCCACTTGTTTTCATGAATTAGGTCCGTCTTTTTTCTAAATATACCAGTCGATATTTTAAATCCACATGCATTTTTTTCTACTTGTAGCCACTTATTTAGAGAATCTGGAAGATGTAGTAGAGGTTTAACAACTTCTGCATATGTTGGGGAGTCTGGCAATTGCGATGTCATCATCTGAATTTGCAGAAAACCAAAGACCAAATTCCTTTCATAATAAATAAAGATTACCTTTTTTTATCTGTCTTCCTTTTTCTTTTCTTTTTTTTTTTTTTTTTTTTTTAAATTTCGCTTCAGAGAGCGAGCAGCGATGAAGATGATTGGAGTGTGTAGAAGCTGAGAGTGGATCGTATATACCCCAATATTTCTAGTTTAAGTGCACTGATTATTAAGTTCATGTGGGAGTAATTCCAACCTCGACCCCACCCATGTTTGAACTTACTCATTCAATGACATAAAAACAAGCTTCTTTTCATTCCTCTTATTATTTTTTTTTTCGTTCAGTTTTATCAGTTTTCTTATTTTTGCTATTTCATTTGTCCTTTTTTTCTTTCATCTTTTTCTCGCTTTCTTTTTCGCTTCTTTTTTTTCAACTCCCCCTTTTTTATTTTCTTATTCTTTTATTTGTCTTGTCCTTTCCAGTTATTCTTCTTTTTAATTCTTCATGTTCTTGTCTTAGTCTTTTATTCTACATTTTCTTCTTTTTCTTTTTCTTCCTCCGTTTCTTTAACTTTCTTTCTTTTATTTTTTTTTATTTATTTTACTAACCTCTTCTTTTTCTTTTTTTTTCCTTCTTTCTTTTTCTTTCCTTCTTTTTTATCTTTCTTCTGCTTGCGAATTTTTTTTTTTTTTTCTTTCTGCTCCTCGTTTTTATTCATATTTTACTTTCTGTCTTTCTTCTTCTGCTTTCCTTTTCTATTTTTCTTTCTTTCTATATTTGTTTCTACTACTTTCTCTCTCATTTTCTATTTTTCTTTCTTTTAGTTCTATTTTTATCTTTTTCTTTCTTTATTTTTGTATTTGCTTCATCTTTTCATCTCTTCCTTTTTTCTTCTACTTGTTCCTTCTTTGTTGTTTTATGTCTTAAGTCTTTCTTCACATTGATTCTTTTTGCCTTTCTTTATGTCCTTTTGTTTATTTTGTTTTACTGCTTCTTCTTTTCGTCTTTTTTCTTCCTTCTTTCTTCGAGTCTCCATTTATCTCTGCTTTCAAATCGCTTTTTTTGCTTCTTTCTTTTTTCTTCCTCCCTTCCTTTCTTTCTTTTTACTTCTCTTTTTTATCTTTTCTCCTCCTCCTCCTTATCTTTCTCTTTCTTCTTCTACATGCTTTTCCTTGTTTTACTTGTTTTCCCTTCTCGTCTTTTCTCTTTTTCGATTTTTTACTTGCTTCTTCCTCTTTTTCTTCTCTTCTAATTGTTTCTTCTTTTTATATCGCCTTTTTTAAACATTTCTTCTTCATTTTTTTCTTTTCTTTATTTTCTACCTTTTCAATTTTTTCTTTTGAATCGTAACCTTCGCCTCAATTCCACACTCGAGTCTCGCTTTCACTTCCTGCATTTCGACTTTAGTAATTGAATTATCTTAATTTCTTAATTAACTATTTTCAATCCTTCATTTTCATCGCCCTCTGTCACTTTCTCATTGTCGTTGTTTCTTTTTTCTTTCTCCCTGTTTCCATTTACTTTTTCTTATCTTTCTTTACTGTTATCTTTCTTTCTTTCTTTATTTATTTATTTCTCACTTTATTTCTCTTTAGTAAACCGATTCTATTTTCTAATTCCCACAGTTAATCTCTCTCTCTCTCTCTGCTCTCTCACTCTTAACCATATATATATATATATATATATATATATATATATATATATATATATATATATCCTCTCTCTATCTATCTATTTCCTGTTTCCATTCAACATTTCTCTATTTTTCATTTTTTCACTTCGGTTTTATTTATCCATTTTCTAATCTTAATCCTTTCTCCTCTCTGTCTCTTCACTCTCTATCTCTACCTGACTCACTGTTTCACACTCTCCCTCTTCTTTCTTCCACCCACTTTCCTTCTATCTCTCCTCTCTCTACCCTCATTATCCCTGTGTCTCTCTTCTTTAGTCTTCATGTGAGTTTTTTTTTCTCTCTTTTTCTCTTACTCATCACTCTGTCTGTCAGTATCACTTTCTCTTTGCTAATTATTACCCTCAGTTTAATTTTCTCTTTATGTCTCTCTCTTTGCCTAACTCTTTTTCCTCATCCTCTTTCTCTCCATTCTATATCATTGTCTGTTTCTCTATCTTGCTCTCTCCATTCTTATCCTTTCTCTCTGTTTCGTTATCTCTCACTTCTAATCCCCACATTGCATACGGTGAATTCCCATTAAACAGAACATATCGGTTAAACCAATTTTGGCCCCTAATAAGCTGTTACCTTTTTAAATGGGTTCCCATAAAAAAGACAAAATGTTTCATCCGATGGATTCCGTCTTTTCGCAACTTGTCCTAAAAAACAGTTTATTCCTTGCAACCGATGTTTCATTTAATGTCTCTGTTAGTATCGATCTTTCTTCAGAGGTCTGCCTTGTGGATGAGATGGTTGTGACTTTCTGACCAATAATACAGACACTTGTAAAAAGCAAAGATTTCGCATGCTGATTTTCAAAACAGGCTCTATTAATTTGCATAATTGACACAACACAATCTTTCTAGCCGCCTTCTCTTCACGATATTATGTCATACGAAGTTAACAAGAGTCACTATGTCATATTTATCGATCTAATTTTATTCATATTCTATACGCATTCTATATGCGTACCAATATTAACTGACTCTGTATGGTACATAGTCAATTCTATATGCAGGGTGGTCCGAAAGTCTTGTCACTTCTATATAATATAATTTTCTATTTCAGATGGCTGACACGAAAATGATGCTGTTCATACAGACATTCTCGATGTGTGACAGCGTCAATGAAAGTGAATTCCAGTACATGTGATTTGTATTACTGTATTACTTGTTGTTCTATTGTTCTCATTACTTTTTGGTAGAGGGGTGATAAGCTTTTCGGACCACGCTGTACTTACCTTTGCAGCAATTAACGCCAATCAATTCACTTCTAAATCTGTTCAATTCTACCTGTCATCGTTTTGATTTAAATTTATCCCATTTATTTTCCTCAATTTGTTCGTATTTATCTCTATCTATAAAAGGCAGGATGTGTGTGTGTGTGTGTGTGTGTGTGTGTGTGTGTGTGTGTGTGTGTGTGTGTGTGTGTGTGTGTGTGTAACGAATGCACGGCCGCAATTTTCGACAGATTTGCACCAAAATTTACATGCACATGCTCCAAGTTAGCGGGAAGGCCAAGACCGACTTTGCATTTCGCAACTCCCATCGATAGTGGAAATAATCGATTTTTTCATGCTTCTACGGCAGTTTTCATGTAGTTTGCGGCCATTTTCTACTGGCCATAGTGAGAACCTATATCTGGCTGCCACGAATAGGCAGGAAGATTCTATTGGCCAACGTGAGAGCCAACAGCTGACTGACACGAATGTTAACTAGCATGCTAGCATGCAAAAAAAATCGATAGCTGCATTCGTCACAAGTGGGAAAAATTTAAATCTGCATGGCACTTTACTCCAATTGGCTCATTCGCTTGCTTAAACTCAACGTTGATTCTGATTCTGCAGAACTGGGTTGGGCGTGAAAAAGTATTTGTTGTTAACATTCTTTTTCATTCGGTTTTTCCAGTTACGAGTCCTTTTTTTAAAGCTGATCGTTTTGTGTTCATTTTGTTTAGTTCTTTTTTCGTAACAGATTTAATGTTTAGTATAGAGCTTAGAAAAAATTCGCAGTGTGAGATAGGCAAGAAGTAAGGCATGTAGCAACATCAGCACGGCAAAGGGCACTCCTTTAAAGGCAAGGAAGGGCAAAAATATCAAAAGTCAAGTGATAGCGATTGCTGTATGAGTCGTGCGATTTTTGAATCAAGCACGGGCAACGCCTGGCCATGCTGCTAGTTACATATATAAGTTTGTATTTATTGAAATCATTATTACCCAACCTATTCTTCTAGCAGTCGCCCACTTAACCCCCAGGACGCCTCCCTAGTGATTCCCTCTCGCATTCATACGAAGACGCCCCTTTCTTTATGTTGGGTATACTGAAAATTCAAAATAATTAATCTAATATTGCAAACACACATATGTATTTCGGCTTTTTTTAAGCTGTCATGAGATATAATGTTGCCAGATGAAAATAGCTATAGTGACTATAGTGTAACACCCATAAATCTAAAACATTGATCCTTGCAGATGGGAATGTATGACCTGGATGGTGTGTGGCGCGTCTTGTTCAGATAACGTCAGCAAGATACAAACAAAAGTTCGAACATTTAACTTCAGACAACAAAATAAAACAAAACCATGCGTTCGTGTATATACCTCTTATTCTGATTTCATCATTTGTAATACGTTCTTTTGATTCTTTCAGTATAAGTGACTTAAAAAAAAAAGACAATTATTACTGCTGTTTCTCTAACACTCATTTTTCGAAACGCCCTCTTTTTCCTCACCGCTCCCTGAATCCCAGATTTTGATATTTACATCGGGTACGTTAATCTGACATTTAGCCAAAAGTAAGTCCGAACGCACAATATTGCAGTAACTGTCTGTGCATTTAGCCTATTAAACACTACTTTCTAGTGTGAGCCATATGCATGCGTGCATGTATGTATATCAGTTATGGCAGCGGTTATAACTTTTATTATATGATTCGAGAATTAGTAACCTCACCAGTGTCTTACTATCAGTCTACTGTAATCGTATGAGGTACAGGCAGTTTTATTATCTTGACTGGTTCTTGTTATTTAATTAGGTCTGTATGATGCTGATAGACCTGCACAAGTTATGGTAATTTTCCAAGCTTAGATTTTCAAGGCTTAAATTATGGGGCACTCAGTCAGGACCGAATTCACTACTCAGTAGTACTTGCTTTAACGAGACAAACTTACTAACCATTACACCACGAGGAGATATCCACACTGCACAAACTATGTGCGACTATAAAATATCGCACAGTTACTATCAAGTTTCCATAAATTAGAACCACATCATTCAACTGTAAACTGTTTGGGGTCATCCAGTTACAACGAATGGTTAGCCATCCGTCCATCTATCTGTCTGTCTGTCTATCTATCTAACTAGCTAGCTAGTTCTGTTCATATCTATCTTTCGCGGTTTTTTCTTTCTTTTTTTTTTAAATAATTTTTCCAATCATTCATCCGAAGAAAGGCGATAATTCCACTAAGACGCCAGGGGTTACTGAGAGAGAAACAGAATGAGAAGGATTTAATGAAGAGAGAGTATGTCGGAAGATGGCGATCTATCTATCTATCTAAATCTAGCATTAATTATATGTTTAGTTTATATTTTCATATCTCAGTCTTCTCGTATCTGACTTATGTCTAATATGTTTCATTCAATTTTTATATCTGCCATTTCGTAGTATATGAGAAAGGATTTTGAAAGAGATAGATAAGAGAAAAACACGAAAAGATGATTTAAAGAAAGAAAGAAAGAAAGAAAGAAAGAAAGAAAGAAAATTGAATAGGTGAGAAATTAAGGAGAAAAAAAACGAGAATAAAAATATTTGGAAAATACGGATTCCGTTGATTTGAAGAGAAAGCAAAAGAAAAGAGATACACAATACACTGTTACAAGCTGAGATAAAAATTCAAGATGCAACGGAATGAAAGAAGAATGAAGTCGAAAAGAGAAACAATTCTTGCAATCGCGGCAGTTAATGCGTGTTTGTTGTGAGTCAGTCTCAAAAATAAAAATCAGTCAATGCCATTTACTCTTAACGACAAAAAAAAAAAGAAAGAAAGAAAGCCGACAAAAAAATATCAGGGTCACCATTTTAAATGAAGGTCACTACCGGAAGTTCATTTTTCTTTGAACACCAAACTCTGAAGAGCGGAAATCGGGTCAGTCTTTTGTATTTTCTTTATTGGAAAGAAGCTGAGAAAAAAGAAAAAACAGCTTTTCGCATCAGCAAATAATAACAATTTTTATTTCTTTTTAGCGAAATATTTTCTTTTCTTCAATCAGAAATTATTTTCCTTTATTACTCTTGACATAATTTCCACCAAATTACAACCCGAAATGATTATACCATCAAAACTTAAACAAAAGATACTTTTTTCTTATAGAATGTAGAAAATATACACATTAACTGAAGTAAGGTGTTGGATTAAACAACGTCTGCCAGTAAACTTTTCTTAACGCCCGATTGTAGAGGTGGAATCGAACCTAAGACGCCCAGTTATAAGACCGGAATGGTCTTGGCGTCACACCCCCATAGAAGTAGACTCGCCCGCTTACACGAGAGGCGAGAGTGGGCTACTTAAACAAGAATTTTACGGCAACGAGTATCTAGGCAGATACACGTCGTCTCGCTGCTACCTTACATGGCGTCGCCGATATAGGAAACCTGCTACAAACAACGTTGGAATATGGACGAACAAACACAGCAGACATTACTTCGACAGCTCATCGAGCTACAGCAAGAGATCATCGCCCTGCGAAGAGACGGAGGACAGCCGAGAAAGTCACTTACAAGGAGACCCGACAGACCTAATATAGAACCGGACTCAAGTGATGGTGACTGGGCGATATTCATTGATTCCTGGAATAGATACAAGGAGATGTGGGGTTGACGGAGCCAACAGCGTTAAGAAACGAGCTGAGAACGGCCTGTGCCCCAGAAGTGAACAGGCTGTTGTTCGATATGGTAGGAGCAGAAGTACTAAACTCCGTCACGGAGGAAGAGCTGTTACGACACATAAAGCTCAGTAGCCGTCAGAAGCCTACACAAAGAAGTGTACCGGCAAGAATTCCACTCCGTAAGGCAGAAAGAGGGGGAATCGATTACGGACTTCGTGGCACGACTTCGATCAGTCGCAAAAATTCTGCGACTTTTCAGTGACTTGTCCGAACGGGATAGGATGCGGTCGGAAAGTCAGCTACTCAACGATATGGTAGCAGGACAAATGGTGGCTGGGCTGGCAAACCTGGAGCATCAAAGCAAAGGTGTTGTCTGAGGCTGCGACACTTACGACACTGGAAGAAAAATTCAACAGGCTTGTCAGCCTAGAGACCACGGACAAGTCTACACCCCATCTCCATAGTAATGTATACCCTACTACAACGAGCACACAGAGATCGGGCCGCAGGCAGCGGCCTCCGGGAGAACCAGACCGTATCAACCCCGAGAGACACTGAACCCTGTAAATGGTGTGGGAAGAGCTCACACCCTGACGGCTCGAATGAACGAAGGGTTGCCCAGCAGCAAAGATGACTTGTCACAATTGCGGCTTAACCGG